TGTTTTGGTTGTTGTGTAGAATATGGCCGCACAGAATGTAGTTTTGTTGTGCCGGTGGGGAGGTGAATTTTTGTTTGACGGACCTCGTGTCGAGTATAATGGTGGAAATATGGAACCACTAACACTTGAACCGAACATGACCTTCAGTGATTTCATGAACGAGGTTCATAGTAGCGTTAGTTCAAACCCGGGAAGTGTTGAACTAAACATTAAAATGAGGTTTGAGACCGGGAATGGGGTTCAAGTGTTACATGTGTCCTCGAATAAGCATTTGAAAGCTTTAAGGAGCGTTGTAGCGTTGAAGGGTGTTCCCACCGAGATTTATGTGGAGATGGTGCCTATTTGTACCCAACAAAGTACCAGGGCAGAACCACATTCTACATTTATTTCCGGTAACAACACACAGCCGCAAGTGCCCTCACACGACACTCCCCCGGCTGAATATGGGATGGGATCTTTTAGTCGAATGTTGAACGACGATCAATTTCACATGCCGTTCAGCTCTCACATAGCTTCACCTGTACATGGGGCGACGTATACAGCAATGGCCGGGCAACTTGGGTCTTCGACATCAAACATCGTCACTTCTTCACCGATGCACCTGCATAGGAATACGCCTGTGCAAAATGATGTTCGAGCTTCGCCGAATGAACTAGTTGCGGTTCATCTTGACACAGTTGTGAATAACGAATTGTCTGTGTATGATGTGTACACAAATGATGAGGCCGAGAGCGGAGAGGAGGCAGACGTACTTCGGAACATGGATGTTGAACTCGGAGACATGGAAGTTGGTGAGCCCTTGGTCAGAACTCCCGTACCTTGGTTCAATGAGATAAATGAGGACTATGAAGTTGATCCGTATTGGACTGATGCAGGCAGTCGTCCATCTTTTGCTCCCGGTGGAGAATTTGAGAAGGGCATGTTCTTTGAAAGTAAGAAAATGCTCCTAGAAATGGTGAAGCTGTATTCCATACAAAAGAATCAACTGTACACTACGGTGACATCGAATGAGAGTGTCCTGTATTTGCGGTGCAAGAAGAAATGCGGTTGGATGCTACGAGGTACCAAGTCAAGTGCGGACTCTCGGGGCTTTACCTTGATCACGTACAAAGGACCTCATCGGGAGAATTGTGTCACTGAGGTACTATCCGATTGTCATGCACACTTGGATTCGTCTGTAATATCAGAGTACGTGAAGTCCTTTGTGAGGAAAGATCCGACGGTTAAAGTTGAATTCATCCAGGAACTGATATACAAGCAATTTCACTTCAATGTTCCGTACCATAGAGCATGGTACGCCAAGGAGAAAGCTGTAGCAGAGATATTTGGGGATTGGGAGAGTTCTTACGAGAGACTTCCACAATTCATGCAGGCACTCCAACGATCAAACCCGGGTACGTGTGTCGTGTGGAAATACAAAGCCTTGGTGGACGGTGTATACTACAGTAACTTGGAGGTGTTTGAACGAGTGTTCTGGGCATTCGGTCCTTGTATTGACGGTTTTAAACATTGCATGCCTTTGATCTGCATCGATGGGACGCACCTCTACGGGAAGTACAAGGGAACACTGTTGGTGGCTGCAAGTGTGGACGCAAGCTTTCAGGTATTTCCACTAGCATTCGCGGTGGTGGAAGGGGAAAACACTTCTAGCTGGTCTTGGTTTCTGGGTTGCATTCGGGTTCATGTCACGCAAAGAGATGGGTTGTGCATTATATCTGATCGACATCCAGGCATAATTGCAGCAATGAGTGATCCTAACGTTGGATTCACTGAGTCGCGAGCCTGTCATAGGTTTTGTGTTCGCCACATAGCGTCTAACTTGAGGACACACGTGCGAAGCAACGAGATGAGAGATGCGTTCAAGGGTGCGGCTTACCAAAGGCAAGAAAGAAAACTCCACACTGATTTGTGTTTCATCGGTCAGGAGTGTCCCAAGGCCATGGAGTACATTGTTCAAGTCCCTTTCAGTGCCTGGTCTCTCTTTCACGATGCAGGTCGCCGATTTGGGATATGTACTACTAACTTCTCTGAAACTTTTAACAATGTGCTTAAAGGAGCCCGGTTTCTACTGATCATGTCTCTTGTCGAGTTAACTTTCTACAGGGTTAACAAGTACTTCACGCTTAGAAGGGAGTCTTCTGAGACGAGGTATGAACTAGGACTTCCATACCCCCCCAAGGTCACTGCCATTCTTGAGAAGAACACTGCAAATGCAAGATATCACAGGGTCGAAGCATATAATCGCCGATTGCATATTTACCAGGTCACAACTGAAAGGGGGGAGCGATTTGGTTGCAAGGGAGGTCATAAGCATACGGTTAACTTTCAACTTCTGACGTGTACGTGCAACAAACTGAAGATATTCCATCTCCCATGTTCTCACGTTCTAGCCGTTTGTGCGACGTACTCATTGTCAGAGCGTCCATGGGTAGACCCTTCGCTTCAATCAAAGGCCTACACCGACACGTATGCAGCCCAATTCTGGCCTATCCCCTGTGAGACAACTTGGGAGCAGTACGTCGGCCCGAAGATCATTGCCGACAGCAGCATGGTTCGTGGGAGAGGGCGACCGAGGTCAAAACGCATACGCAACGAAATGGATGAGACTAACCGGCCACCCACCAGATGCAGCAGATGCCATCAGCAAGGTCACAACAGGACAACGTGTCCAGCCAGAACGACGTAGAACATTACTTTTGAGTTGTTATTTGGTTTGCTGTAACAGATAAAACAATAACATTTGCTGTAACAGATAATACTTGTTAAATCATATTTGTGTTTAATCTATACCGTAGTCAGTGAACAGATACCATGGACAGAGAGGTGCATTTGCCCGGACCGCTTGACCCTTCCGTGCTTACACTCCAGGCCACGCACCGGAGCACTGCCGTATGGGATCAATCGGTAACATTTACTTCCTATGCTAACATACTTAAGAATGCTCCTTGAAATTATCGTTTTACACTTACGTTTATGTATTTCATTTGCAGGTTGATCCCGCGAAGCCGCTTGTTTGCAGGCACCACACAGCCAGCTGACTCCCCCGCCGCCTCTAGACCCATCCACCACCATTACTCATTACAGGCGGCGCCGTGTCAGACAGAGGGCCGAGCAACCTGACCTAGATCAATTGCCCCGGATAGATGAATCGGGATAGTGTTAGCTTAGTTATTTCATGTAGTAAAATTTTTGCATAGATTAGGTATATAACATTTACATTTCTAATATAATAAATGTTTTTCGGTCAACATTTGTGTGTTATGTTCTTTGTTTCCCAATATGTTTTGATTTATGTATATATTGACTTGTCAACGGTGGTGGTGGAAGGTAGTGGTGTGAGGTGGAAGGTTGTTGGAGGTGGTGGTGGTGGAAGGTTGTTGGAGGTGGTGGTGGACGGTTGTTGGAAGGTGGTTGTGGTGGTGGGAGGTCGGGGTGGAAGGTGGTGGACGGCGGTGGAGGAAGGTGGTGGAAGGCGGTGGAAGCCGGTGGAAGGCGGTGGTGGAAGGTGATGGTTGGAGGTGGTGGTGGAAGGTGGTGGTTGGAGGTGGTGGAAGGCGGTGGTGGTGGAAGGTGGAAGGTGGTGGAGGTGATGGTTGGAGGTGGTGGAGGGCGGTGGTGGAAAGGTGGTGGAGGTGATGGTTGGAGGTGGTGGAGGGCGGTGGTGGAAAGGGGTTGGAGGTGGTGGAAGGTGGTGGTGGTGGTGGAAGGCGGTGGTGGTGGAGGGCGGTAGTGGAAAGGGGTTGGAGGTGGTGGAAGGAGGTTGGGGGTGGTGTTGGAAGGATGTTGAGGGTTGGGGCAAGAAACTGGTTTGGTGCTGCCAACCAGGTAAAACGCTGCCTGGGGCAGCGTTTTACCTGTAAACATATACAGATAAAACGCTGCCCCAGGCAGCGTCTTATGTTCAAGCATAAGACGCTGCCTGGGGCAGCGTTTTATACTGTTGCCTTTTTTTTAATTAATTTAAAAAAAAAATAAACGAGGAAAAAAAAAAGTCAAACTATAAAAACGCTGCCCTAGAATTTTTTTTTTTTTTTAAAAATAGAAAGTAAAACGCTGCCCGAGGCAGCGGTTTACCCCAAAAGCTTATTTTTGTAAATACTTTTGCCACGCAACCATTTTTGTAATTACTTTCGTAACGAACCTTAGTTTCCTAAAACGTCCCATTTCTTAAATACATGATCTTACAAAGAATTATGCGATCGATGTTAGCAAACACGTTGAAAACTTCGATCAGGTAACAAAAGCGGTCAGCTAAAACCGACGTATAGAATAGTATAATGCAATTGCACAAAACTATACACGCAATATAGTTGAAAATTTAAATTTGCTCACTTTATTTAGTCATTTTCTTGAAATCTTGACTTTATAAGTCAACTTCGATAGTAAGTATTTCCTTTTAGCTAAAACCTAAAAAGTAAATATTTTAAATAAATAAAAAAAGCCCTATCGAATAATGACAATAATTATATTTTGTTATCCAAGTAAATTATTTTTTAAAAAAGAAATAATTATTAATGTATGACTCAAGCAGGTTTAATTTTTTTTTTTTTTGAAACGGGAGCAGGTTTAAAATAATTACAATATTTGTACTATTTATAAATAAGTTTTGATCGACCACATGTTTCTTAAAACATACAAAAAAATGCTAGTTTATTTCATATATTTTCATTACAATAATAAGATATTTGCACTAGTTAAAGAAAAAAAAAAGCCCTTTGTCGCATCTCACCATCCACTGTTAGATAATATGTTAATATTATCTTGTGAATATTCTGTAAAGATATATTTTGTGTATTTTAGGTTATCTCAATATTAGGTTGTAAACCCTATATATATTCAATGAATGAGAAACCTCCTCTCAAGGAGAATTACACAATTCTACATGGTATCAGATTCAACCTAGGGTTTTCTTTTTCTCTAGTCTTTCAAACCCTTCTTCGATCCTCACCCTAGCCGTTTCTCACCACAACCTTCCATCATCTCCTCTGCCCGTCCATAACATGGCTGGTGATGATGATTCGGGCCCCCCCTCTCCTCCCCCTCCTCCAAACACTCCCACCTATCATCCTGCTTTTGCTGTCCCAAACATCAAGAATCATATTTGTGTTACCCTCGATAACGAGGATGCTCAGTATGCGACTTGGGTTGAGCTTTTTCAAATCACGGCCGTTGCTTTTAATGTTTTAGATCACATTGACGCTAAAACCCCTCGACCGAAAGAGATCGACGATGCAACATGGAATAGGTTGGATGCTATTGTGAAAAATTGGATTTATGGGACAATTTCCAAGGATCTTGTTCACACAATCATGAAACCGGGCGCGACGGCTCGCGAATTATAGACCCGGCTCGAGGAGATCTTTCATGATAATAAGCACACCAGGGCTGTGTACTTGGAGGAACAGTTTGCAAAAACAAAACTCGAAAACTTTGCTAATATGTCTGATTATTGTAAGCAACTCAAACTTCTTGCGGATCAACTCGCTAATGTTGATTGTCCCGTCTCCGATCGTAAAATGGTTATGCAACTTATAGCGGGTCTCACCATGGGCGAGTATGATACCGTCGCTGCCATTGTATCTCAATCCGAACCCACCCCTACCTTTAACAAGGCTCGGTGCATGTTTATTTTGGAAGAAACTCGCCAAAACAAGCAGTCCGAAGCGGGTCAGCATGCTCTAGTGGCTCAGTCCTCACCAATGCCAGCGTCTCAGTCGTCGGCCCCTTCTCCGGCGTCGCAATCAACGACCGACCAGCAGGGAGGCATTGGACGAGGAAGGGGTAAAGGCCGCAACACCAGCTCCAAAGGGAAAGGAAGAGGTAAGGGCCGCGGAAGCAATTCTAGCAACAATAATCAACATCAACAATCTGGGCCCAATCATAACTCGGCCCAGCAGGCCCCTCAGTGGGGTAACCAGCAAGGTTGGGCGCCCCCTCAACAAGGCCAGTGGGCTTCTCCCCCATGCCCATATCCCACTGGCCCAACGAACTCTCCATTCCCTTACCGTGGATAGCAGCAGTCCATTCTGGGCCCACGCCCAGCCCAAAATCAGGCATACTACGCCGGATCTCATGGTTACAGTCTACCTATGTCCCCTACTGATTTGGGCCAAGCGTATAGTTCGATGAGTCTCTAACCACCCGAAACGGATGATATATGGACACCGGGGCGACCTCTCACATGATTCGTGACTGGGGTAATTTATCTAAACTGTTTAATTTGAGCATTCCTCAATATATTTTTGTTGGTGATGGCAAACGAATTCCTGTTTATGGTTATGGCACTACTACCACTACATCCCCCAACCCACCTTTTCACCTTAAGAATGTCCTATATGTTCCTAACATTATTAAAAACCTAATCTCTGTTAGAAAATTTTGTTGTGACAATTCTGTTTCTGTCGAGTTTGACCCTCTCGGTTTTTCTGTGAAGGACCTTCTTTCGGGGACAACTCTAGCTCGGTGCAATAGTGTGGGGGACCTTTATCCTTTCTCAACTCCTTCCCCTCCAAATGGCAATAGTCATCTCTCTCTAGCTGCTATTCCTCCTTCAGTTTGACATCATAGACTTAGACACCCCGGCAAACCGGTTTTTAATTTTCTTAGAAACAAAAATTTAATCCGTTGTAATAAGAGAAATAGTTCTCATTTTTGCTATTCATGTCCTTTAGGAAAACATGTACGACTTCCTTTAAAGTCATCAACTACTGTTACCTTTGCTCCTTTTGATATTATTCACATGGATTTATGGACATCTCCCATTTCTAGCAAATTAGGACACAAATATTATCTTGTGTTACTTGATGATTTCTCTCATTATCTTTGGGTGTTTCCTATTAAATACAAATCCCTGGTCTTTAATATCCCTTCCCTTGTTGAATTTGCATAAGCATCGAAAGAAGTTATGGTTAAAAGGCCAATTAAATTTTCTAATTTGGAAATCATAAGAATTAAAACTAATTGATTCCACTTTTTGAATTGACAAGTTTTAACTTTTAACACTATTTACAAGTTCCACTTTGATTAAATTTTACAGCTTATAATTATGATAAAATAAAGTCATGAGAAATCTTATTAGAATCATCTCACTTAATTAATATTTTCCATAATATCATATTATTTTATAAATTTTACTTGTTGGTAATTAGATGTATAAATCGTTGGAATTATGCATTATGTTAAACGTGATAAAGAAACACTAATTTTTTATTATTTTTATTTTTTAAAAAGGGGGGGGGGGGATAGTACAATACAAAGTACTATTTATGGCTAAGAACAACATACACATGATCCATGAATACGAAACTAAGATTGATCAAGTAGAAAGGAGTGAACCTTTCAACTATTGAGGTTGGAGGTTCAATCCCCGTTAGGGGCAATTAGGCGAGGACCCTCTTACATTTTCCCCTACTCTCCCAAATTGTTTTGATCCAATAGGGCTCTTTTTCTTACATATAAAATTAAAAAATAATGACCCATGCATGGATCATAATGCCAGGAATTCATCCATGGATCATATATAATACCAAGAATCCATAAAAAGCAATTAAAAAGTCTTGCTTTAATTGATATCTGCTAGGTTGTTTTTTTTTTTGAAAGAATTGTTATCTAGGTTGTTGCTTAAAAAGAAAGGTTAAAATTAGAAATGGTAACAGCTAGAAGTGATGAAAATATCAGGCCGGCCGGATCTTGGCGTAAAATCTTGTGCCAAACCCGCAAAATAATGTCATATTGATTAGGCTAGGTTAAGGTAAATTTTTCGGATTTTTATTAAGATGGGTTCAATTCGGGCTTAGAATAAAAATCCAATTCCTTTTGCATGTCCCGGTTTACAATAATTTTATTGTACATCGAACATTTTGCGAAAAGTGACCCTTTTTTCTTACAAAAGTGACCCTTTATTTTTTACAAAGTGACCCATATGTTTACAAAAGTGACTTTTTTTCACAAAGATAACTTCTTTTTTCACAAAAATGATCATTATTTTACAAAAGTGACATTTTATCACAAAAGTGACCCCTTTTTTCACAAAAGTGACCATTTTTTTACAAAAGTAATTAAGCTACAAATGCAAATTAAAATAGAGTATCAAAATCAAAATTCTTTCAAAAAAAAAAAAAAAGTATCTAAATCAAAATTGAAGAAACCCAGCAAAATTAGAACCTCCATTTTTACGAACAAACCCAACTTACCCACAAAAATTGAACCACCGCCATTTTCAAACAAGTCCATTCAAACTTGTTCGAGCACCGCCCATTAGGCAGCCTCCAACACTGCGTGTCTGCGTGACTGCATGAACTTCTGGAGCTTGAGCGGCAACAATGGCGGCACTTCCGACTGAGATAATCACATAGGTTCTCTCACGATTACCTATTAAATCAGTTGTACGCTTCAAATGCGTCTATAAATTCTGGAATTCCTTAATCAAAACACCCAATTTCATCCAACTTCATCTCAATCAACCCTTAATTTCCAACTCCGATCGTCATCTCCTCTTCTGTTATCAATCTCTTTATTCTACAGAATTCGACCATGACAAGATCTCTTTCTCAGAGGTCCAGCTCCCACTCTCAATTCAGGGAGTTCAGGTGTTTGGGTCTTGCAATGGCATCATTTGTATTGAAGAGAGAAATAAAAGCAAATTGAAGAGAGAAAGCTTTCAGCAATGGCCTTAATAGAGCAAAGTTCATAAAAGAGAATGAGGAGAGAGAAAAGTAATTTTGGGGAAAAGTCACGTGTGAAATTATTTAGGGAATGATATTCTTCCTCTTCTTTCTTGCCACACAATAAAATAGTGTAAACCCGCTTTTTTAAAATATTTGTGATAAAAAAAAGCTTTTAGGCTTGTCCGGTTAAACCCTCACTTTTTCGGACACTTCATCCAATAGGTATATACGTGTCGGAAACAATGTATGAAAAACCGTCAATCTCAAATTAAGGGGATACATGAAAATGTCATTTTCTAATTAGGAAACACAGCGTATGTTTGTTGCCATTAATATATTCATCTAGTAAATGTTTGGACTTTTCGTCAAAAACTACTTAATTAATAAAGCCCAGGTTTTGTGAGAAACTACCTAATATAAAAAATGTTGTAAAAAACTACCTAATAAAAAGAAAAATTTTGTAAGAAACTACCTAACAAAATTTTAATTGTTGTAAAATACTACCTCCGCCGGAAATCCACCATTGACCCACCTCAAAACATCCCCAAAACCACTGCTTTCACCCCAGAACCAACACAACCTACTTGAAATTGCCTTCACCAAGCCGAAACCACCCTCCAATCCCAAGACCACCACCTCTAACCCCAAAAATCAACATCCCGAAGCATGAAATCAAACTACCCTCACAAACTCAGAATATCTTCTAATTACCCCTAAATAACCTTACCACCTTGAATAACAACCTCTGTGGTGGTTTCGGGGGTGTTTTGAGGTAGGTGAACGCCTTAAAATTAGATTAACGGTGGAAATTCGACCAAAGGTAATACCTTACAACATTTTACCTTTTATAAAATAGTTTCTTACAACATTTTTTTATACGGTAGTTTCTCACAAATTTTAGGTTATATTAGGTAGTTTCTGACAAAAAAAAACCTAAATGTTTTTTTTAATATATATACTTAATCCAAGGGAGGCTAGCATGTTAAGGAAATAGAATTTATTCAATGCAACATACTTCGCATAATATTGTTAATTATTGTAAAAAAAATAAAGAAGAAGAACAAAAAAAAAAATTAGTTAAAAAAAATGTGTGTTCACACTGATGTCTACTGGCCTGGTACGGAGTACAGTATATGCTAACTTCGTTATTAGAGCATTCACATCAGTGAACATTTTTTTTGCTCATGAGCAAAAGTGGTGAGCATATTTGGTAGAAATTGTACTACATCAATGAGGAAAATGAAAGATGCTCATGAGCATTTTAGAATTTGCTCATAGGATGAGCAAATTTCATGATGAATAGTAATCTCATGGGCCCCAACATTCATCCAAAATTGATGAGCAAAATTGGTATAAATGTTACTACATCAATGAGCAAAATAAAATATGCTCATGAGCAATTCAATTATTTTTTGATCACTAGTGGGATAAAATTTCCTCACCAAAAATGCTCATGAGCAAATTGGTTGGGAAGAGAGAGAAAGTAGCTAGAGAGAGATTGAGCAAAAAAAATTTTGCTCACTAATGTGAGTGCTCTTATGTACTGGTAATCTATAACTCTATAAATAGTACTATTTCCAACGGCACTAATGCTCTTCATAAAAAGAAACTTTAAAAAGCTTCATATAAATATTTATTTTTGTAAAAAAAAAATGGCAAGCTCCTTAGGTGTTATTCAAGCTCTAATTAAGAAGTTGAAGGAAACTTTGGTCGTTAAAGTTATTGAAAACCCTAGCTCTTTTGTCTCTCCTTCTGCTTATGACACCGCGTGGTTAGCCATGATCGGTAACCCTAATGAAAACTATGAGAAACCCATGTTTACAAGTTGTTCGGAATGGATTCTAAGCAACCAAATGGATGAAGGGTTTTGGGGAGAAAGGGATTGCCATGGCAATCCCACGATTGACTCTCTTCCTTCAACCCTTGCTTGTATAATTGCATTAAAGATGTGGGATATCGGCCATGAACACATTGAAAAAGGTTAGTAGGTTTGTATTAAACTAATAATTATAACTTGGCTAAGTAAATTTTATTACGTGTTTTAACCTAGATGTGAGATCGATCAAACTAAAATATTTTCATCCATCTACATCGTATATGTCTAGTGTGACTCTCTGCATGCACGCACTAAAAATAGTTCATTGTTCATATAGAGTAACAAAGGTCTATAATAGCATAATGTTGCATATATGGTATAGTCGTATAGACGAAAACACTTAGGACAAAGATTACCCAATTCCAATCTTTGTCAATGAGATTAAACCAAAATGTGGTCCTGCCTATGTTTTAGGGACAGCAGTATTATGTTCATTTATTTGAAAAATAAATATTGTCGTACTATATAGTAATTAATTTAACAGATGTCCTCAAAAAGAAATATATATTAATAATTTAACGTATGATTTATTTATGTTTTCAGGGATGTCATTTTTAGGGGGGAATTCAAGCAAACATATATTAAAACAAAAAGGCAACAATGAAAACTACCCTCATTGGTTTGCTATAGTTTTTCCAGGAATGCTTGATCTTGCATGGCGAACAGGTTTACGAGTGATGCTTGCTGACGACATAAAAGAAGTTGTTGCCCACATCTATGACCAACAGCGATTGATATTCAAAATGTAAAATTCTTACCTTCTCATTTTTTAAATTTAGCAATTTTGTTGTTTAGGTTGGTGTTTACATCTTTTATTTTGATTCTATTATATTTTATACTACTCTATTTGTCATTAACAATTACATAACCTACTGTAAATATAGCATGTTTTACAAAAAAAAAAACCAAAAAGACAAAATTGGCCTCAATAGCACTTATAGACGTTATAGTTGGGTGCAGAGAATAGCAAAATCATAATTGAGTGCACTCTACATCACAAACTATTAAGTTTGATGTAAAAAATGTTATAAATGACATCGAAGGACGGAGGTTCTGCAGAAAAGTTGTATTTTTTTTTTTAATATTTTGTAACCAATTTTCACCACTTTTTAATCTTCTATAACTTATGGAATTATTTTAATATACCTAGCACGTGCTCCCTAATTACTTTTTACTAACTTATTTTGTAAAGACGTTCATTAATTACAAAGAATGGATTGTGTTTGAAAAAATAAATCGAAATCTATCAACACAAATTAAAATTCATCCAAACAACACGTCAATTTTAATAGATCATCATAACACCAACTAATATCCTAATTTCATAAAACTATGAAAAAAAGGACAAATAACCAAATAAATAAGGAAAATTTGTCAGAAAAAATCTATTATAACCCTCTATTTGTTAGTAAAAACCTTTAAAAAAAAAATTTGGCCTTTAGAAACTTGTTTCTAAATTTTTTTTGTTGAAGACAACCAAAACCTCTAATTAACCTAATTAGCCCCTGATTACCCCTAATTAACTACTAAATCTTATTTAATTATTTAGAAATAACAAATAAATTGACAAATTTAAAAAAAAAAAATTAAACCACCCTCCAACCCCATCATCACCTGCAACCCTCCCCCTTCCACCTCCCCTTGTAGCAGCCACCCCCACCCTCACCCCCTGCCAGCGAACAGAATCCCTACCCCCCCAGGTAATCCGAGCTCTAGAAGACAACGGTACTTGGACTTTGGAGCATCTTCCCCCAGGTAAGAGAGCTCTAGGAAGTCAATGGGTCTATAAAACCAAGTTTTTGTCAAATGGTGAGGTGGAACGCCTCAAATCTCGTTTGGTTGTGTTCGGCAATCATCAGAAAGCAGGAATTGATTATGATGAGACTTTTGCTCGGGTGGCCAAAATGACCACAGTTCGCACCTTTCTTGCTATTGCAGCTTCTAAAAATTGGGAGATTCATCAAATGGATGTACACAATGCATTCTTACATGGTGATTTAGCTGAGGAGGTATATATGAAACTTCCTCCCGGGTTTGAAAGTTCGGAACCTACCTTGGTGTGCAGATTGCGTAAGTCTTTATATGGCTTGAAACAGGCTCCCAGATGTTGGTTTGCCAAACTAACCAACGCTTTGAAACAATATGGTTTTAACCAATCTTACTCTGATTATTCTTTATTTACATACTCTAAGACTACTGTTCAAATTAATGTCTTGGTTTATGTGGATGATCTCATTATTTCTGGGAATGATTCCGCTGCACTTACCGTTTTTAAAGCCTATCTCAGTGATTGTTTCAAAATGAAGGATCTTGGTCCTTTGAAATATTTTTTAGGCATCGAGGTTGCTCGTAGCTCTGCAGGCCTGTTTCTTTGTTAACGTAAATCTACGTTGGATATTATTTCTGAAGCCGGATTGTTAGGTGCAAAGCCTAGTGGATTTCCGATGGAGCAAAATCACAAATTGGGTACGACAACTGGTGATTTACTACCGGATCCTGAGTCGTATCGGAGACTAGTAGGGCGATTGATACATCTTGCAGTTACTCGGCCTGATCTTGCTTATTCTGTGCATATACTGGCTCAATTTATGCAGGCTCCTCGTACTGAGCATTGGGATGCTGCATTGAGAGTAGTACGATATTTAAAAGGTACTCCGGGCCAGGGTATTCTTTTGAGTTCGGCTAGTGACTTGACTTTGGAGGGGTGGTGTGACTCCGATTGGGCCGCTTGTCCCCTAACTAGGCGATCGCTTACAGGTTGGCTTGTATTTCTTGGAAAGTCTCCTATTTCATGGAAAACGAAAAAACAACCCACGGTTTCTTTCTCTTCGTCTGAGGCCGAATATAGGTGCATGTCCGGCGCTACTTGCGAGCTCAAATGGCTAAAGGCCTTATTGTTAAGCATGGGTATTCAACATCCAAAGGCAATCAAATTATTTTGCGACAGTCGGTCTGCTTTGCACATTGCACAAAATCCAGTTTTCCATGAATGAACGAAGCACATTGAGATTGATTGTCACTTCGTTCGTGATGCTATTAATGAAGGCTTAATTTCTCCATCTCATGTTTCTACAAAGGAACAACTAGCTGATATCTTCACTAAAGCTCTCGGAAAGTCGCTATTTGATTATCTTCTTCCCAAGTTGGGCATTTTGAATCCGCATGCTCCAACTTGAGGGGGGTATTGAGATATATCATATATTATATTTTAGGAAGATATTTATTCCCTAATATTATCTTATATATTCCTCAATATTCTAGGAGATCTTATGATTCTAGGTTAAGGAAATCTTGTAATGCTTATATATTTGGGGAGATGATTAATGAGAAATCAAGCTATTCTACTCTAATTATTTTCTATTTCTCTAATTTATCACCCCCGCACCGACAAACCCCCCGCCCTGCGCCCCCCTGCGTCACCCTCTTCTTTCCTTGAACCACCACCCAACTCTGACACCGACCAATAAGCCTCTTCTCCTAAGGCTGGCCTACCCAGCCCAACCCCCTCCACTACGTCGATAGGAGACCTAGCCCTCTCGCGACGACCAGAGACCCCAACCCCTTCCCTTTCACCCGCTGCGACCACCCACCCCCTTACTAAATCCAAATACAAAAATTCCACCCCTCATTTCTTCAACCATAAACAATCCCCTCCTTTTTCTACACCCATAAACTACCTCCCCTTGTCGTTTAAGGGTGTGGGAAAATAATGGAGTGGTGGTGGTAGAGAGGGGGGTGGGAGTTTTTGGAGTTAGGGTTTAGTGATGGGTGGGTGGTCGCGATGGTGGTTCAAAGGAATAGGAGGTGTAGGGGGGAGGGACTTTGCCGGCGCGGGGGAAGGGGAGGGGTGGGGGGTTCTGGTGGCCGGCGGGGGTGGGGGCGGTTGCTATCAGGGGTGGCAGCTGGTGATGGGTTTGGGGGTCGTGTATGTTTTTTTTTTTTTTAATTTATCAGTTTATTTATGATTTTTAATTAATTAAATAAGATTTAATTATAATTAGGGGGTAATTAGGTTAATTAGAGGTTTTGGTTGTCTTTAACAAAAAAAAATTTGAACCAGGTTTCTTTTTGCCAAAAATTGTTTAAAAGGTTTTTTCTGACAAAAAGAGTGTTATAATTAGGGATGTACACAATGCGGTTTAGACCGCATCAAACCGCAATTTTACAGTTTGGTGCGGTTTGAAAATTGCAATGCGGTTTTTTAAAATGACCAAACCCCGGTTTGCGGTTTGGTGTGGTTTCCAAAGTTATTGAGACCAACCCGCACCGCAAACCGCACTTTAATGCGGTTTGCGATTTTTATAGTATATTTTCATTAAAATTATATAAAAGAACTAAAATATATAAGCTAATTTTTTTACTATTAGCTAATTAAAGGTTAATAAAAAGAGTTTAATATTTAAATTATCAGCTAATAATTATAATATAAAATAAAAGTTTTGTTTTAAAAAGAATAATTACAATTTTAATAAAATACGGTTAAACCGCAAACCGCACCGCACTAAACCGCATCTTGCGGTGCGTTTTTTTTTAAATTGCGGTTTAGTGCGGTTCGAAAAAATTACAAACCGCACTTTTGCGGTTTGGTGCGGTTTACGATCCAAACCGCACCGCGAACACCCCTAGTTATAATAGGTTTTTTCTGACAAATTTTCCAATAAATAATGTAATCAACACAAAGATAGAAATTGAATTTCAAAATTTACCAAGTACAATTTAAAGAATGTCGTATGCTGATTGGTTGATTAGGGGTCTTTGTCTTCTTCCTCGTTAACATTTCAAGGAATAGTATTAATTTTACTAGTTGGGATAATGGGTGAATAATAAAAATGGGTACTTGTCCTTAGTATAGTAAAGTAATTATAAGATGAAAATTGGTTAAATATATTAAAATAATAATAATATGCTTTCCGTCTAAATCTCCGATCTTCAATGTATTTGATGATATATTTTGCACTTAATTTAAAATTTTGTGATGTATAGTCACTCACACAACATAACAAATTTTGTGTTGATTTAAAAATTTGTGAGTCACTCAATCAAGGTTGTACTACTTGTTAAAAATTAAAAAATAAAAAATAAAAAAAAATCAAGGTTGTACTATTCTTTGCATCCAACCTATAATTGGTGCTATTATAAGGTCAATTTTACCTAGAAAACAAAAAAAAAAAAACAGCATGGCTATGTGTAATTAAGAAGAGTAGTAACTACATGTATAACCCCACTGATTCAGTGAATAAACAAAAAACGTCATACACGTTTTCCCTACCATTCATCTTTTTGTGGTTAGTTCATTCAAGACGATGAGGTTAATGGGGTGTCAATAAACTTCACTTGAATGACCCCAATGACTTTACTCCTTGTGCACAATAAATCTGTTGATGTGTACTGACGCACACTAGTAAGCATCAATAATGCATCATAATACAAGCCAACATGCCAACATCTAAACGCCGCCCCATATTAGAGTTGCATCACATATACCAAGATAAACACCACAGAATCGCACATTAGATGTAAATTACTAGTTTATTTTCCAATGGTATTGATATTTCAATTCATGTATTGACCATAGAAGTTTTAGTGGCATTATCAAATCTCATCAAATTAATACGGAGTAGCTGGTGATTGAGTCCCAGAAATATGTTTTATACTCTATCACACCCCCTCACATGATGAGAGCCCTTTGAGCATGAAATGTACGTGGATGTAGCTAGAGCTGGCAATCCCTGACCCGACCCAATAACCCGAACGAACCTGACCAGAAGTTACTGAGAGAAACCTGACCCGATCCGAACCCGAATAACCCAAATTCGATCCGATTTGACCAAAATTTCATATTTCGTAATAATATTAAGTTTTACACTGTTTTTTTTTATTGTTTCTAAGCATAACCCGAAATCTGACCCGAACCCGACCCACTGAACCGAATTGTCACCCCTAGATGTAGCATGGACCCTCTGCATACCTTGCGCGAAATATTCCACTTGAAAGTGGGAATGGATGAGATTTGAACCCGTGATATTTGTGTCATGCTGGCTTTGATACCATGTTAGGAGACCAAGTCAACCAAAAGGTTAAGCTAATGGTTGAGATCTGAGAATATGTTCTATCTCTATCACTACAGCATCTAATATTACTATCATCATGATCTTATCTATTGGTACGACCTTAAAGAAAGTTGACATTCCTTACATAAATGATTATCATTTTTATTGAATAATTAAATATGGACTCATATATGAGAGCTAGTATATATGGATCCTAATTTGGCTAGTTCTACTATATTGTGTACATATCTTTGTTATCTTTCAGGGAAGAATTAGTTAACAAGTATCACTATCCTCCTTTGCTTTCGTATTTGGAGGCGTTACCTTCATCGTACCAAATTAATCAAGCAACTATAATCAATAATTTGAGTGCCGATGGTTCCTTGTTCCAATCTTCTGCGGCCACGGCTGCCGCGTACATTGCAGCCGGAAATCCAGCAACATTGTCATACCTACATAACCTTGTTCGAGCTTGTAGGCATGGAGGTAATAAGTCACAGTTGTAGCTATTTACGTAACAACTAATGTCACATTATTATTGTTAGTATCATAAACTTCTTTCGTTTTTTTCATAATTGCAACACTTTGACTTTTACACTATTCATGTGTTTCACTTTGATTAACTTTGACGATTTATACTCAAGTAAAAATATAGTTATGTGAGATCTTGCTAGATTCATCTCGATTTATACAATTTTAATATCTAATGTTTATAAGTTTTACATATTGATATTTAAATATATAACTATTTAAAACATGCATCGACAAGTGTGAAAAGAGAAGTGTTACAACTAAAAAAAAAACAGAAGAAGTATATATATTAGCACTAAAGGATTATATTAATTAAGTTTAGAGTGTTTTAGCATAATATAGTGTTAAATTATTTGACTTAGTACTAGTGTTATTTATGATTATTTTATCTTTGTTCATGTAGTTCCATCAATATATCCCATAGATGAAGATTGCATAAAGCTCTACATGGTCAATCAACTACAAAGATTAGGATTGTCTGACCATTTTCATGATGAAATCGCGGTGTTATCAAAAGACATATATAGGTACTATTTCACATACACTCTTAGAAATGAATAGTCATTGATAAGACTAATGTTTTAATTATAATTAGTCATTTTTTTCATGTAAAAACATATTTATCAGTAAATATAATGAAGAAGAAACATCACAACATGGTTTACTACAAGCCAATATCTTCAAGAACTCCTTAGCATTTGAAGTACTTCGGCTACAAGGATATAAAGTCTCCCCTAGTAAGACTATAAATCTTTAATTATCTATCAACAATATATACTTCATTATATTTATTTACTAAACATATATAATCTACCTTTAATTTACTAATTAATCTTTGGGATGAAATCGATAGGGAGGTTTTGTGGGTTCCTTAATGATAAATATGCTCTTCAAGAAATTGAAGACAATCATGAAATGTTTGCTAGCACACTCAATAATCTCTATCGAGCAACGAGTCTTATGTTTGAGACTGAAGTAGAGTTGAATTGAAAGAATTGAGAACATTTTCTAGAAGATTGCTTGAAAAATCCTGCCTATGTAGCAACACAATAGATGATGGTATCATGATGTGGCCGCGTCTTCAAGAATGGGTAATTCGATTTGTTTGCCTATATATATTGTTTATAATTAGCAAGTTAAACAATCAAAAGACAATAATGAAAAGTATACTATGATTGTACCTTGTTAATTATATATGTGTTCTCATAATTTCTTACGTAATTATATTTGTTTACTTCATAGATTAAGCGAGAAATTCTTGTAACTTGGATGGCTCGAATGGATCATTTAGATCATAGGAAGTGGATTGAAGCAAACCAAGACAGCCCTCTTTGGTTAGGAAAAGCCTCATATTATAGGTATACTTATAATTAATTAGAAATGACCTAATTAGTCATTTTCAATTTCTTGTCTTTGTTAAACTATATATATAATAAGAGTTTTTTGATAACAGGATTTCGTGTCTCAATAACATAGATTTGCTTCGACTTGCTAAAGAAAATTTTGAGTATCGACAAATGGTATACAAGAAAGAATTGACCGAGCTAATAAGGTAATTAACTCGATCAGAGCAGGGTTTTATAAAGGGTGTTATTTGTCATATACCGTGCATTAGCCTATAAATTTAATTTTGAACTATTGGAATTCAATCATGTATATACTGAATGATATATAGGTGGTCGAAGGATTGGGGTCTAATGGATATGGGCTTTGCACGAGAGAAAACCACGTATTGCTACTTTGCCATCGCCTCTAGTGCTTCCTTCCCTTATGAATCTGATGTTCGATTAATAGTTGCAAAGAGTGCCGTGCTAATAACCATTGTGGATGACTTTTTCGACACCAAAGGGTCACTCGATGAGCTACAAACCATTGCAAAGGCTGTGCAAAGGTATATCCCTAGCTAGCTAGCTAGATAGCGCGAGTGATTATGTATGTTTATACAATAGCTTATGTTTTTCTCATAGAAATGGTTGTTTTGTCACGTATGCACACAGATGGGATAACAAAGGCTTAACAAGTCATAGCAAGATCCTCTTCGATATCCTCGATAACTTTGTGGGTGAATTAGCAAAAACATACCATGATCAACATCAAATCGACATAACTACTAGTCTTCGAAATTTAGTAATTCTCTTGAGAAACACTCTTTATTTGATTTTCTCTATTGCTTTCGTCATATATTTGCTTATGAGACTGATTTTTCTTTCTATTTCTTTTGTCGAAGTGGTACGAAGCAATTGATTCGTGGCTAATTGAAGCAACATGGAGAAAAACAGGACACATTCCGTCGATGTCTTCTTACTTGGAAATTGGCAAGATTTCTGTTGCTGCTCATGTAATGGTACTTCAAGCCTCGTATTTTCTGACTCCAACATTCTACCCTCACAACATTAATCCTTCTCAGTATGAAGCAATTACGAAACTTCTAATGAAATCGTGTCGATTGCTGAATGATATACAGGGTTATGAGGTATAACAATCTTATACTCTTGTTGATAAATTAAAATTATCTTTATTAACTATATGAAGTCAAATAAGCAACCTTTCATTAGAAATACTTGAATAAAAAGTGTTATTGAGTGCTTTTATAAAGAAAAATCTTAACAACCTTTTTCTTACAAAATTTCCTTAGAAGTTTATTATGAATTGCACGTACAGTTTGTGTAGTTTGTACGTAATCTATAATTTTTTGGAAGCTAACTAAATATTACTCCATGTTCGAGTCTTGCATAGAGAAATTAAGGAAGGAAAAATCAACTCGATAATGTTATACTTGAGAGAAAATCAAGATGCTAATATGGAAGAAGCCGTTGATTATTTGGAAAAAATACTTGAAGGAACTAAAATGAGGTTGCTTGAACATGCATTAATAACGGATAATGGAGTTGATCATGAAGATTTGCCAAAACCTTGCAAGATGCTACACTTAACCGCACTTAAAGTGTTTCATATGTTCTACAACTCGACTGACCATTTCGACTCAAAGGACTCCCTACTTAATGACATAAACAAAGCAATTTTCGTTCCCTTGGACCGTCATGTACCTTTGAAATCTTCTAAGCCTCTTACACTTCCATTTCAAGAAAAGAAAAGGTGTTCGACGATTAATTTTCATAACAATACAAGCTTAAACATTTGTGGCGCAAGGAAAAATTTTACAATACATGGAACATCTTTGGGTTTATCATTGGGAAGTTACCAATCAAAGATAAAGATTTCACCATCCTCCAACCTCCGATTTACTATGGCATTATAAATGGGCTAAGTTTTGAAGAAGATTATTAGCATATGCATCCATGAACGTATATGAAACAATAAAGCCTATGTGTTCTGTTCACCCGTACTAAATTTGTTTCCTTTGTAAGTTGCCTCGCGCATTGTTATATACTTATATTTTGAATATAATACTAAAATTAAATGTTTACACATATTGGATAGGAAAGTTCTACCTATTTCGTTTTATCTGTATCTTGTATCATCTTCTTAGTGTTTGTTGCATGTACTTTATTTTGGGAAACTCCCTGTTTCTCATGGTGAGAAACGAAATTTGTTTCTCATGGCGGCATTTTCGTGAATAAATCAACAACTTTTTCATTATTGTGGGCCCCACAGTTGAATAAAGTTGAATAAAGTTGTTGATTTATTTACGAAAATGTCATGTGAGAAACCAAATTTGTTTCTCACCATGAGAAACTGAGGCACCCTCCTTTATTTTAGGGTTATTTGTATTTGTAGAATTACACCAATTATCTTTTATGTTCTATTGATTATTGAATGAAAATATGATGCATATGTAACATATGTAAAACAAAGAATTTATTGTTTTAAATTAAACCATCAAGTTGTTAAAAAAAAAAAAAAATTCAATATTTGTAAAGCTATACTACAAACAACTTACTAACAAGCTTCAAAACTTGTGTAATACTAAAATCATCAACTTATTGCCAAACAGTTCATGTAATACTTGGTCTTACGACCTAATTAAGTCTATGATTGCATTATACAAATTGTTAAAACAATGCTAATTAGACATTATTATTGCGTCAATTATATTTGCTACGGTAAGACTAGTAAACACTTGGAATATTATCTTAGACAACTCCCAATCTCCCACCTTATAAGCTACATACAAACTAGCTTAGTTAGATCAAAGGCCTTTATTTTGGCAATATTAGACCGCAAAACTTTTGTTACAAAATTGACTTATTCAACTTATACCAGTATTATTCATTGTAATCTTATCATGCATTATATTTAGCGGGCTGATGGAAGGGATTCTGCTTCAAGAAAATGTGTAAACAACGCGAGTGAGCTGCTCGGTTTGAATATAGGCACAGCATGGCCGGCTCCTCTGAATGTAGCGAACGTTAGACCCGTATACTCTTGATACCATCCACTCACCTGTAAACAACAAAATCAATGCATTTTATTAGGGAAGGAAATAATTATTCCAAAGTTGCACATAAAATAAAATATTTCAAAGTTGCATATAATATTTAACGGAAGTAGTATTAACTATTACAATATTAATTTTACCTGTTTTTCATGGTACCATGGCCTCCAAGGTTTTGTGATGGGTAATCCAAGAGCATTTAAGCTGTATCTTGTAGACAACACGGGAACTCTTCCATCTGTATCTCCACTGGTAAAGCCGACAAATGACAAAATATATATTGTTGGTTAAATGAGGCAAGTAAAATGAGACGTAGCAGTATTATATATAAATAAACTACGTAGTATTTACCTATAGACCCATATTCTAAGTCCAGCAGAAATTAGTTTCTTGTAAATGGGAAGTACTGATGGCTTTGAGTCTGCCCAGTTGCTAAATATTGTGAAGCTACATCAAACATTAGAAATTATGTCAAAATACTTCATACTTAATTGTATATAATAAGCTCCTCATTTAATGGTAATTAAGAAAGATTATTTGTAGTTTAAGATAAATAATTTTGGTAATTACTTGCATATGCTCCAATTCTTTAGCTGAACACCATCACTTACATGAAGAGCCTTTTGAACGTCTGGTCTATTATAGTAACTTCTTGCATAATCATCCAAGCAAGGATCATAACCACCCATGATTCTTGGCATCTGCAAGTGTTTACACCATGAGAATCCTTTAAATAAAATTATAATGCGGAGTATTCTCTTTCGTTCCAAAATAATCTTGGGATATACGACTTGGGAAAAATGTATACAGTATATAGTTTCAAAATTAAGTCGATCTATAAAAACCTTATACCTCAAATTAAATTGACTTGGACTAACTTTATCCAAAATAAATTGACCACTCGGCTTATTTGTCACCTCTGATCTAGACAAGGAAATTTTTTTATTTTTTTTTTTTCATTTCGAGTTATAGGAAAAAAAATTTAAATAACATCTTAAAATAATTACATGAGGTAAAGTTTTAACTTGAAATATTCATTCTTGTAACTTGGCAAATAATTGTTATTTCAATCTTACCATTTTGGAGCTAGCTTTGAACATGACTTCCATTGACCCTGAATTATTTTTGGTAGATTTTGCCATGCAAACTGCTGTGTACAAGCTGTAAATATCAATCTCTTTGTACTGTTTTAGGACCTCGTCGACACCTTGGCTACAATCGGGGTTGTTCCAAGTGTTATCGCTGTTGAAATCACAAGTCTCTCGTATGATTTTGTGTGTTTCGTCCGACACAACAGCGTGACTCCAAGCGTAGTCCACTAACCCTCTCCAATCATCGGGATCTGATGTTTCGGGATTTCCCATCTGAATAGATATTCATTTTTCAATTGTCACGTGTTTAGTTCAAATTTCATTGACTTAACTATGACAACAAAATCCGTATAAAAATGATTAAAGAGAGCATACATATGATTTTGAAGTAAAAACTAGTCCTGTGAAAATAAAAATAAATAAATAAGGAAGTATATATACCAAAATGCCCTTTAGGTCAATGTAAATAGAAGAGTTATAGTTTCTGTCATGAATGAGCTCAGCCAACTCTGGGACATATTTACCTGCCATTTAGTCACCAAATTACAAAAATAAATCAGAGCACATTTGAGATAGAAAATATATGTTACAAGTGAATCAAAGACAAGACAACTCGCAAGCTACTCGAGTATCGCAATACTCAATATTCCTGAGCTAAGCTTAGTTTGACACAGACTCTAGAGGCTCAATGACCAACATGAAAATTATTTAATTGAAAAGTTATGGTGCACTCCGTATAAAATTTAACAATGTTAAGTTTATTAAAGTACGGAGTAGTATTTAGTTGAAAAAAAAAAAAAACCAGAGTGGTAATTAATTATGGAAAATGTTTTAAATAGCCCTTAGGGCTACATATAAACGTTAAAAATATTCTTGAAAATTGTTTAAATTTAGAAAATCATGATAAAAAAAAACACTAATCACACTGATCTACGCGTGTTTAAGTTATTAATTCCAATTTTATACAATTTTCAAAAAGTGTTTTTAATGCTTATATATATAGTTTTAAGCGTTATGTATAGCATCACCCATAATTATTTATATGGTACTTCATGTTTTTAAAATGAGATCGACGAGAAGTTGGAGTACCTGCATAGCTCTCCCCTGCAATGTAAAATGAACGATTTCTATATGTTGGAAACTTGAGGAACCACTTTTGGAGAAATTCATAAGAATCGTTTGCTGTTCAACGAAAGATATAAAGAGATTAATTTTATTAAAATTAGTCAAATGATGAAGTCGAATTGAATAGGCTCTTGATTGTACTGTCGAAAAAAAAAAAAAATTTGAACTGAAGAGATAAAAGATCAAGAATTATACCAGTAAAAACATCCCCAAGATTATCAAAATCACTAGTTGTATGCGTATAGGAGAAACCAACTCCAACAGGAGATTCTAGGAACAACATGTTGGCTTCTGCAAGATTATGTGCATATTACAAAGTCAAGATATTAATATTATGGCGTTAAAATACATGGTATATTCGTACATTTTTTAAATTTTACATCCGTCCTATTTAAAAATCAAAAAATAAAAAGACGAGGAATATATTATATGGTCATATGGAGTTTTGTTTTTAGAGGAACAAACGGAATATATATAGTGACGTTAGACTAATTTGCTAAGTAAAATGAACTAACAAAATAGTGAATGAAATCGACATCTTATATTATGTAAGAAATGCGACTTTTTTGTAGAGACGTACACTTTAGAGAATTTTCGCTTAATTTTAAATTAATTTCTTCAAATAAGCATAAAGAAACATGTTTATTATGAATTAAGCACTTACCTTTATTCCAAGCAAAAGGGTTAAATTTAAGAGCACCACCATCGGCGTCCACTAAGAAAGGACCAATTTCTTGTGTTGCTCCATAACCAACAGAGGAACACCCTGGACCTGTAACAAAAGTAAAAATAATATAAAATTAAATAAAATATATAAAATTTCAAATAAATTGGTATAAAAATAATTATTAACATTTAATTATAGTTCAATGGCTAGGTTAGTGGGACTTTCTAAACACAAGGCAACAAAAAAAGCATTTTTACTTTTAATTGGAATATATGCTTGCCCTTTTGCTACCACTTCATATATTTGTCTGTGTGTTGAGGTGAATATATTATTTAATTTCTCCACTAATTATAAAAATGTTCAACTTTTCTCCAATAAATGTAATTTTTTAATTTATTATGTGGTCATGCTACCATCTTAGCAGCATGGTGTAATAGGTAATTATATTATCCCACATTCTTTATTATTCCACAAAAGGATTAAACAATTTAATTTGTCAAAGTGTGTGTGCTTGGTATTATTTTGTTATTTTGCATCATCATCTTTGATAGCTGCCTCATATTAGGTCATAATGTGTGGTACATTTTGTTCATAATTTAACTAACAAAGATGAGCATCAAATGTGAAACACTAATAGCTAGGTTCGCGCTACAAATATTCTTTATATTTGATTAGTAATAATACTTTCTTCGCCCACAATTATGTGCAACAAAGGGGTATTATTTGTGAGATATAAAATATTACTTTGTTGCACATAATTGTGGACGGAGGGAGTATATATGTACAAAGTAAGAAATAGAGTGAAAAGACATACGACTCATTTTGACACATGCTTACCTCCATTCAACCACAATACCAACGGCTTCTCATCAGGATGAGATGAGGCCTCATAAAACCAATAGAACAAGGCCCTCTCTTTTTTTTCATCAACCGTTATATAACCGGCATAGTGTCGAAAATCGACCTCCGGTTGGCCGGGAAGATTTGTCACAAGATGGTTATTTTCCAAGAGCTTTTCCTCCTTGTCATTATTATAAGGCCTTACTTTATGCCTAGAACCTTCTAAAGGCTCTATACAAAATAATATGGCAATAAGAACCAAGCTAAGGAATATAAATAATGCCCTCATTGCAAAATCCTTGTTAGAGCACCAATCTACAATATTGTTTAGGGACACTTTGAGTTTGACTAGCTACAATGTGAGGAGATGAAGAAGAACCACTTGGGCTATTTATAGTGATATTTTTTGCACTAAAAAAATTCAAGATGTGGGGTTTGCAAAGAAAAATGGGTCCATTTTTGCCATATAGGGTTGGTGAATTTCTGACATGGATTATAATATCAAGGGTCCCTTGCATTATGTAGGTTTATAGGTATGGTAAGTGGATGTTCCATTTTCATTAATTTGCAATAAGGTGTTTACTATATATTTAAGAAAATTTAATGAATAAAGACAAATTTGAGGCAGAAAAAGATAATTTTGAAGAGGACAAAATACAACCTACAAATAGCAATTGGTGCAACATTTTGAGATCTAGGATAGATTCCATCTTTCCTTTTGTTTTTGTCTTGTAATTACTACTCAATATCGACATACTCGTATCTCTATGGTCCAAATTCATTCATTATTGTAGTGAATCGTACCACTCATCGATCCCTAAAATATTGTTTCTTTGTTCTTTACATAATGTTCATAATAGATTGTGTTATGTTAAGGTACAGTCCAAATTATATTTTCCGAGTCTCTTTATTTTAATTAATACTCTCATAGTCTCATGTACAAATAAGAAATTTCTATATATATTCCATACAATATTTGATCTAAACCGGTCTTACATACATACACAACTAGCGATAATATTGGATTGTGCCAGCATGAAGCACAACATGACACAAGCATAGTATAGGCATGGAACGTCACGTTATTGTGCATGTTGAGCAATTTGTTGAGCCTAAATCATCTTTAATTAGGAGAAGCATTACAAGGTACAACAACATGACCTGGTGTACAATATATCGTACATATGGGACTTGAGGCCTTGAGGGTGCTAGCTTAGAGCATCGGAAAACTGACAATTGCTTCATCTCATGTGATAGGATTGTTTTATCCACTCGGATACACCCATAATGATTACTTCTTCTGGTTTTTTATACTTGCAACACAGCCTTGTACGTGGCACATATTTCAAGGTTGAGATTATATAATGTAAAATCAACATAATTAATTTTTACACATGGTACCTAACCCTTCTCTAATCCTAGTATTAAAAGTTTTTTTGAAAAAGATCATACAGTTACCGTCACTAATCAACTCCTAAAGCCGTGTGCCTAAAAATTGTGTTGCAAGTAAAAAAAAAACAAAAAAAAAATTCCTATATAATTTTTAAAGTATAATGCAATATAGTCTGAATTTAATAAGTCTCCAAGTTAATTAGCTCGGTAATTATGTCTTTCACCATTATTAAATTGTACCAACATACATTTAAACTCAAATTTCAGCAAATTCATGATTGCTTCTCCATCAATAAACCATAATGCTAGCTCCTTTATGATTGTCTCTTTGTCTTGATCATGAACACATCAATCTTCTAGAGTTCGAGTAATGGATGATTATGACGCACACTACGTATATTAGTGACTCCCTTATTGAGCACCCTTCCAACTATGTTACACCTTACGCACATATTATTTTCTAAAATGTATCGATAAAATCCCTTAACCCTAGAGAATGTAACAATAAACCTTAGGTATGTTTTTGGTATGTCATTACTTTATTACTCTTTTTAGAGGTAGTAGAAATTCCTAGTGAATAAGTGTCACAACAACAATTTGTGAAAACATATTGGATTGCACCTGATACATAAAACGAGTATATATGAAAGGAGAGTTACACCACTTATCAAATGTTACTTTCTAAAATCAAATGGTGATAGAAGTAGTCAACTTGCACATATATAATTGTGTGGTGTACTAGTGGTTGTCATATTTCCACTTATTTTATATAAAGGAAGAATTTTAATAGATGATAAATTATTATTTTTAAATAAAAACCTAGTTAAGTATTTTCGGGCCAAAATATAAGTACGTGACCATCCTATTAGCAATTTCATCTTTCTTTTTGGCTAGTACATGAACAAAATATTATCAATCGAGTTCCCTGTTTAAGTTGACTGATGCTATAGTTTATGCTAGTCAAATCAATGACAGAAAATAATTTATATAGGTATATATTCTCACCATATATTATTTCGTACTACTTTCATTGTCCCCTAAGAAAATAGGTCATATATAAGATAGAATCTTATGATGGAATAACAGAAATTAATTAGTTTCTTTTGTGGGGAACCTTACAAGTGATTGATAAATAATGATATATATCATAGTATTAAAATCTTTATATTGAAAAAGTGACAAAAAGATAATTGGCCAATTGGGTTGTTGAATAATGACATGGAATCTAAACCTTGCGCAAGTTGTACTATATATGAAATATTGAGATTGATATCATCACACCATTGAATGGATGGAATTGGATGTCAATCATCACTAAATGTCATTTATCTCGAACTACTTGTTTTAAGAAAATTTTAAAAAGTAGAGAGAAAATATTGGTTGAGTTAGTGAAATTTAGCTAAGACTAGGAGAGATTGTATATGTTATGCATGTGAAAAAAGTAACTAGACAAAAAGACTAATAAATGATAGAATGAAAGTATTAAAGTTGAGAATTTGTTATCTAAAAATGTTATGCAACATCTCTATTTGAAACTTTCTTGATCTTTCACTATGCTTAGGATAGAGGAAATTTGATACAAATCGTTCTTATGAGAAGGTTTTGCATGAGACCGTTTTACGTGAGTTCAGTTATAATGCACACACTCATCCCTACGCACTACCACTACCTAGCCACTTGTCGACGGCCGACGACCACACTTAATTTTTTTTTTCCAGTTTTTATGACCGGACTCACGTAGTGAATCCGTTCTACACAAAGATTTTACATTGTGGTAAGGTGAGTTTTGCTTGAGAAAGACGACATCCTTCTTAAATTTTTGTATTTAAATACTTAATTAATAACATATAATCATGATTGTTCTTGTACCAAACTTACAGAATTAAAGCTACTACTACTGTCATACAAGTTTATCAAATCGATCATGTGAGTTATTCTGGACACGAATGTAGATGATAGGATCTAAATTATAGAACGAAAAAGTCATAAATCATGTGAGTTACTCATTAGTGAGTTATATATTAGGCTTACAGATTATAAATCAAGAAAGTGAAAGGTTAATTATACTAATTGATAACCATTTTAATTCTATTCTTTAAATGATTTCATTTTATCCGATTCAAAGAATTTCACTCACAACGTTTGTGTTGGCCAACATTGACAAGATCACCCACGCACATACACTTTTTTCTTCCTTTAAGTTCTTCGCCATTAAATTAGTGGGAAATTCTCCATTAATTAATACAAAGTAAAGTGAAGAGACGTTCTTAGCAAACAAACAAAAAAGTACAATTATTAAATTAATGCAAAGCATCAAATTAGTACTCAATTAATTTTATTTTATTTTACTCAAGCATGAACTTTGCTCACGCCCATTCCATAAATAAATCACTTTAGATTAATGCAAAGAACCAAACTTCTCCAATATATACTGGATAATGGAGAATATATGCTTATAAAATACCAATTGTCATCTGCTAATTTAAATGACGTTCATTTTTATTTTAATTTTGATCCATGTTTGGGTGACAATATTTAGATTAGTGTATATGTCAGATCAATGATGACCATTAATTTTTTGGCGTTTAGAGAGCCACAAGGGGAGAATCGATCCCAAGATCTCCTGGAATCGAGAGGGAAGCTCTAACCACTTGAGCTATCCCTCACTCTCAATGATGACCATTAATTAGTTGTAATTATTTATTTAATAATACTAATTCTTTATTAGTCTTTTGTCTTAAAAAAAATTTAAAAAAAAAATGGCAAATGGGTTTTACCGCAAAAGTCAAAAGTCATACTTAAATTAGTTAAATTTTGGAAAAATTTCAATTTTTTTGGCCCGACTTTAGTTTGGGTTTATCCCACTTTTGGTTTCCAAGTGTTATAAATGTCTCTTAACTCATTAGGAAAATAATACATATAATACCTAAGCTTAATTATTTGACCTAAATTGAGGTTGTGATTGAATGCATGCATGACTCATTATAAACCCAAATTGGTCAAATATAATCCAATGGTCAAAATACGAGTAATATATAATTTAAATGACTTGTTTAATGAGATTTTTATCTAATCGTGTCAATTGAACTATATCTTCATATATATAACTTTAATTTGACGAGACACCATATATGAATGACTCGTTTGATGAGGTTTCTACCCTATCATATGTTAATTGAAACTATATCTTCATAAATAACTTTAACTTGATGAGACACCATATACTGTAGTGCTTCAGTAGTAACACTACTACGTACTTGATATAGAGGTTGATGAAAATTTTGACCTTTTGCTTTGAATTTGTAGTGTTACTGTACATGAAAATATGAAATGCATGATAATATATACTAGTATATTGACTAGATTCTTTTAATAGATACAAGTAACTTGTTTTCTTTACTCTAAATCAAGTGTTGTGATCTGATTTAATAATGTTTGGTTTAATTTGAATTTTCTAATTTAATCTACTAGTCTTACAAAATTTTGAACATACATTATTCACACTAATAGATAAGGGACAAAATAATTATTAATTGAGATCTTGTTAGATTCATGTACAATTATAAATTTTAAATCTATAATTCTTAAATATATTACTAATACATAATTAAAGATATTTAATTTAGTAATAATGAAATGGATATTGAAAGTGCTACACTGCTACCAGATCTAATCTACTGTAATTAATACTTATACGAAGTACTGCCTCCATTTTTATTTAGTTGACACCTTTTTCTTTTCACGCTTGCCAACGCACTATTTTAATGAATAATATCTCAAACTTTCGACATAGTAAAATTATAAAAAGTGAATATTAATTAAATATACATTGAAACAATTCAAATAAGATCCCATTTGATTATGTTTTTTCATAGCTATAAATCACAAATGCTAGTCAAAATGTAATTTGTGAATAGTGTAAAAGTCAAATAATGTCAACTTAAAAAAAGGGAGGTAGTATATGATATGATCAAGTTTTGAATAGATAAGTGACATGGGTCAATGTTCAAAGAAGGCCCATTTGACACCGCCCATTATTATATATTCAAACCACCGCACACTGTAGCCCAGTATGGTAGCATGCTTAGTCGCCAACACCTTCTGCTATATTGTCAAAACAAAAAGTATTAGGGTCAAATGTTCTCGTTTTCATGATCAAACATCAAAACACAATCCCCCTCTATTGCCAAAAGACTCAAATCTTAATAAGACATTAATGGGGCGTTTGGTATAAACATTGTAAATGAAATGGAAAGGATTTAAATAAGTAGGGGAAAGGATAATGATAAACGTTACCTTTACTATTTATTTGGTATCCTAATGCAATGGAAACAATTTGAGTAGATTGTGATTGAGTAAAGAAACGTATTTTGTTTCCGCTAATTTGTCAAGGGTAACAAATTAGGGGATTTTGTTACCCTCCAGAAAGGGTATTTGTTATTATAAACACATACATACAAAACAATTAGAAATAAAACACTTAATTAAATCTGTTTCCTACATCTAAAATTAGTATACCAAAAGCCTCCTAGGAGCAAACTAAGAAAAGTAACGAGTATTACGTAGTCTTTGTATTAATCATTGCATGGTTATGACTCTTATGAGATGCAATCTTTATCACTGATGTCTAGGTTCTAACTAGTGATGAGCGTTTGTAACAAGATAAGTAAGTGAAATATTCAATTCGTTCCTCTTATAAAAATTCCATTTGTACTATTGATTGTGGTAGTATCAAAAAGCAAATTAAATTCAATTAATGACAAAATATTTTTAGAAAAAATGAGAGTTTAATTTGGAGACGTAAGAAGTTGTACTAGACAAAAGCCATAGTTTAATTGGTATTGTTCATGAATAGATGTTCCACATCACCACATGTTGTACATTAAAACTTTGTCATCAAATTTGCACCCTTCAAAAACCCTAAAGTATGCTAACGTAGGGCCAAAGCAATAAACTTTGCCAGAAGTGACCAAAATAGAGAAGGTATGACTCGTGCGTAAGTCGTAAAAGTGTAAAACTAGCTTTGTTTATGTCCACTAAATAGCACGTGTGAATAGGATGATATTGGCCAACCAATCTACATGTCTTTCTTAGCTTAAATGGATTAAGATCAAGTCACCCACTCATGTATTAACCTATAATTTTGTCTCCAATTAAGGCCTGATGACATCAAGCTTCATTTTTTATTTTATTTTTTTAATTGATAAGGATCATGATTAGACCTTAATTTTTACGGGTTTTTTTTATTCAATATTTGCAGGTTAGACACTTGAGAGTAGAGGAGAGGGTAAAGAAATCCCTACCCCAAATACCCTTATTTGATAGGATTCGAATTTCAAACCTCTGCTATTTAAGGTAAAAACCTTACCAAAAGAGCTAATACGTTATTGGTACTTACATCGATCATTTTGATTGGACAAGCTTGATAATGCATAACTTTGACTATCTACGACTACATATTTGCATTCCTTATTATTACGATAAAATGGGATATTATTGAGCCGTTGGACTCTCAATTAAGATTTTAAGGGTTTGTTTGGTTCAATATCAGTGAAGTTAAAGAAGAGAAAGAAAGGGAAGGGAAACTTAGGTATTTTTATTTTTCAATATTTGCGCTTGCAAAAACCAATCTTAACGTTGAAATTATATTTTAGATTCATCCATCCTCAAAGATAGATAGTGGAAGGTGTAAACAAGATCCAATAATCTTATACATAACTATTAATTTAATTATCCGCAATTTAAAGTCAGAGGATCGGAAGAAAAAAAGGATAAGAAAGTTACATTAGAGGGGCTGGGACTTGATGGATCATCATTAATCTTAGGCACATGGCAATTAGCAAATATTCATTGTATCATATTATGGAGGCGAAAGTTGAACAAAATGTACTGTTTTAGATACAATCAGTTCATAATGAAAGTATGAGAAAAGAATTAAAGAAACAACTAACATCTTTATAATAAAGTTTCTAGCCTTACAAGGGCCCAGAACTCAACCCGAAATAGGAAGTGACTTAAATCGAAACTGACCCGATTAGAACTAGATCAATGTTGATCAATTTTTTACCTAATATCCAATGTTTATCTTAATCAAAGTTACCCGGCATTTAAATTGATCCAAACAAATTTTTACCCCAATTTAATCCAAATATCCCTAATACTAGCTTAATAAATCACTTTGAAATGAGGGGTGGATGAGATTCGAACCAGTGACATTTGTGTCACGTTGACTTTTGATAGCATGTTAGTGGACCAATTCAACCAAAAGTTTAAGCGGATGGTCGAAGCCTAGAAATATGTTTTATAATCTATCACAGATTAATTTATTAAAACAAATCTGAATAGAAAATAACTCAAAACAAACTAGGCCGATTTTATATAAGAAAATTACGTATTTGGAGTATTTCTCTTCCACCCCCCCCCCCCCCCCTTCTTTTATCCATTGAGTTATAACAGCTTGGTGAAAACCAACAACTGCTAGACATACTACAAGATTAGAGATCCTCTCTGCCACGAGATTTAAAAAAGGCTAAATGAACGAAGAATAAGAGCGAAGTCAAACCCAATCCGAAATGACTCGATCTGAACTTGACCTTCAGTCTTGTCTTGAAACTCAAACCAATTTGGATTGACTTTATTCGAACATGCATGACTCAAAGCCTTAACCCGGAACCCAACCCGACGTGAATATATTTTAACTTAAACATTTCCTAATTGACTCGATCCAAACCTCATCGAATAGTTGACCCGAAATGATATGATCCAAACTACCCAATTGTCAAGCCTAGCTAAGCACACATACTGCTCTACACTATTAATAGTTTTCTAGCTTCTAACAATAAAATGGAGATAAAATACACCACTTTTCTCAAGCAATTAGTGGCTTTTTTTTTCACTCGTTATGTTTATACACTTCTTTTTCGACAGCTTCAATATAAAAGACATTTTCTTATTTGAAATGACCTACCAATCTACCATTACTAGAAGAAGCATCTTTATCCCACTGCCCACTTGTTTTTGTATATTCATATCAGTTTTATGCCCAATGTTTCACCCGTTTCGTTCTTTGGGCTAATCCGGATCCGGAGATCAGTTATGGGTGATTACTGATTAGGTTCCAGTTCCCTCCCGATTGTTGTTATAAAAGATCGAACACGGATCCATCGTACCAAGTATAATCTCAATCACCACTATAATAACAATCATTTGATAACGTGTCAATTATTCTTAAACGGAGAACCGACAAATCAAGCAGTTGATGCACTAATTTACAAAGGGAGTGCAAAACATGGAGTAAAGTATTTATTCTCTCAAAAAAAAGTATTCATAAAAATTGTCAACAAAACTTTTGGTCCACATTCTCGACCACACCCCAACAATACCAACACCATCATCAATAAACCAAAACTAAAATTCAACCAATCATCCAAACCTCCAATTCCACCCACAAAAAAATAAAGAAGAAAAAAAAAAGTTGCAAAAAAAAAAAAACCCTTGAATCTTTCTTTCATATCTTTCCATTTTCAATAGCAATGAAAGAAGAACAGATCCAACCCAAAAACCCACTTCCCCATTTCTGGGGCACAACCCCAGAAGAAGACTACTACACTCAACAAGGCATCAAATCAACCCAATCTTACTTCACCACACCATCTGGTCTAACCCTCTTCACCAGATCATGGCACCCACTTTCTCTCTCTCCTCCACGTGGCATCATCTGTATGGTCCATGGCTATGGCAATGACATCAGCTGGACCTTCCAATCCACCCCTATTTTCCTTGCTCAAAATGGGTTTTCCTGTTTTGCCCTTGATTTACCTGGTCATGGTAAATCTGATGGCCTTAAAGCCTATGTTCCTGACATCAATTTGGCCATTAGTTGTTGTACCTCTTTTTTCGAGTCTGTGTTAGAAACCCATTCGATGCGTAATCTGCCCGCCTTTCTCTTCGGAGAATCTATGGGCGGGGCCATTTGCTTATTGATCAGTATCATGTACCCTGACATGGGTTTCAGTGGCGCTGTTCTGATCGCACCCATGTGTAAAATCTCTGATAAAGTCAGACCCAGATGGCCAATCCCTGAAATTCTGACATTTATTGGTAAATTTGTACCAACTTTGGCAATTGTACCTTCACCTGATTTGTTACATAAGTCTGTCAAAGTTCCTGAGAAGAAAGAAATTGCTCTGATGAACCCTTTAAGGTATAATGGGAAGCCAAGATTAGGGACTGTTATTGAACTATTAAGGGTTACTGATTATTTGAGTCAAAAATTGAAAGATGTTACAATACCTTTTATTGTGCTACATGGAGAGGCTGATGTTGTGACTGATCCTGATGTGAGCCGGGCTCTTTACGAGGCGGCCGCGAGTGATGATAAGACGATCAAGATTTATGAAGGAATGGTGCATTCTATGTTGTTTGGGGAGACCGATGAGAATGTGGAGATTGTTAGGAATGATATATTGTGTTGGTTGAATGATAGATGCAAAAGGGAAGATTGATGGGGTTGAAGTTATTTACTCCCTCCGTCCCTAAATTAAAAGTCTCTTTCGCTTTATTATGTGAGTAATAAATGCTAGAAAGAGTCTTTATATTAAGGGACGGAGGAAGTATTATGGAGTAGAACATTGTTTTTTAAATTGATTTGTGAATGTAGCAAAATTGAATTGTAGTTACATTGAAATCAAGCTACTAAGCTACAATGTGAAATGTGAATGTGTTAACTTTGATGATGGATTAAAGAAAGAAATTGGCATATTTGTGCAATTTTTTAAATGTCATGTTTGGTGAATATTTTTGTATGCTGGTCATTTTAAGCTAGTATGATATACAATATTGGTTTCATGCTATTACTTTGAGGTTAAGCATATGTTACTTAGATAATCGCATTCAACACATGTATGTTATTAAGTGTAATGCGTAATATTTGAATAAATAATTCCGTGTCTTTGGTCCAAAATGAATCGTCCGTATTAATGCACTTCTTAATAGAGTTGAATCGAGTAATGTAGTTGATTCAGTTGCTGTTGACAATTGACAGATAATTTTTATTTATTCTGCAGTATGTAAAACAATTTGTCCAACAAAAATAAAGGTCCTACCGAGATTTGAACTCGGGTTACTGGATTCAGAGTCCAATGTCCTAACCGCTAGACCATAGGACCAACTTATTAATATAAAGTTCCAAAATAATTTATAACATATAAACAAAAATGTAAAAAAAATATCACAGAAAAAGCGAAAAAGAGGTCCTACCGAGATTTGAACTCGGGTTACTGGATTCAGAGTCCAATGTCCTAACCGCTAGACCATAGGACCAGATTGTTCAGTAATAACAAAGAAAATTATTTATTCATTCCGTCAACTAACTAATGCTTTTTCCCTAGTATGTGCACCATATTCATTCACCCATGTCCCTTGATACTTTAGCATGACATTTTTAGTATGTACTTTAGCATGTCAACTGTCCTCAAGGGTTTTGGTTCATTTGGCAGTCCAAGAAAAGGTTTGGTTAGGTTCGTTACGTATGGTTATCCAGGCTTTAAGGTATTTGGTATGTTACAAGGATTCTCTGCTTTAATCATTCACTTCGTTCCTCTTCAACTTGTAAGTGGCGATACCCTGTCTCTGGGATTGTTTGGACGGGTTACCTCAACCACGTTACACAAGGGTTTTCGTTTGACGTTTGAGTTTTATTAAGGTTTTAGTTTGTTTTTAATTACTTGTTAGCTTTACATTGTAATTTGCCCTTTATTTAAATAGTTCTCTTTGTCAAAAAAATAAATAAATAAATAAAACCTTGAAATTAGATTAAGAACAAAGTACATTGATTTTGAATTTAACATCTCACATGTTTTTCTTACATGTGCAACAAAAAATAATCATGATGCAAAAAATTATCAAAGACGAGTATGTTAGCGGTACAAAACGTATGCAACTATGCATAGTTAGGTTCTTAGGTTGAGGTGTTGTCTTATTTGGTATGGACTTATATTTGCACGTGATTATTCACCTTAAATTATTGTAATGATATACAAACACACAAAGTATGCCTAGCTAGCTTATGGCAGTATCTCTTATGGATATAATTTTGATGATTCCGTAATTAATTTGATTTAAACTAATTAGAATGTAACATTATTATCTTAACCTAGTATTATAAGTTCATAACCTTTATCCTTAAATTTAACTTCTTCAAATGCATTGTGGTATTACCTTCATACTTAAACCAACTCATCCTTATATTTCATTGAATTTGAATTGCTTTTATTACCCTAAACTTAACACATATCTATGTCAAAAAAAAAATTAAAAAAAAATAATAATTACAAATTGTTGGTCACGAGATTCAAGATTCCTCTATTAAATAATTGGATGTTAGTTCCACAATTGTGCAGGATGTAGCAGAAGAAGCATTAGACGCTTTACATCAAGGCCAAACGAAAAAAACCAAATAACAAAAAAAGAGGTCCTACCGAGATTTGAACTCGGGTTACTGGATTCAGAGTCCAATGTCCTGACCACTAGACCATAGGACCAGAATATTGATATTGATCTAAAATATTGAAAACTTACTTTTCTGAATGTACAACTTTATACTGTATTACAAGTATCTTTGTAACTGTATGATAGGAAGCTACTAATTCACAATATTATCGTTATTATATTTATTAAATAAAAGAAATTTAAAACTATTGAAAAATATAAATATACAATTGTAAATAACTAGGTGAGGAGAAAATATATGCAATGTGTCCTATATTCTCTCAAATAAATCTTCACAATTTAGGCACCAATTACACAATTAGCTGATACAAAAAATCATCAATATATCAATTCCCATAGCATGGGCTAGAATCACACAAGCTAGTTGTTTAACTGATTTCAAAACAAGGTGGCGTACATTTGAACCTCCACAAATCCCCACCTCGACGAGCTTCATATCAAGCTGCTGTTGATGCTACTACTGGGAACTGGTCTTCTGATTGCCTTTTCCACAAAAAGTTGGCAGCTTCAATCCACCGAGGATTAACTAGAAACTTGCCCTCTTCAACTGCCCTACGAGACTTCTCTGCTGTGGCATCTTTTGATACAACATGTGTTACGCTGGAGTCCAGTTCAGTTGAGCATGTAGCTCCTAACTGTTCTGCCATCCTCCATAATGGCTGGTCAGCAGCTTGTGTTTTTTTCTTAAGCACCAAGCTGAACACTATCTTGCAATCTTTGAGGACTTCCTTCCGAATTATTCTCAGTAACTGCATGACCAATTTGATAAAATTAGTACGATTGTCTATGTGTCTAAATTAAAACAGATATCAAACACACAAGTGCGAAGATAGCTGGACCTAACCTCCCTCACATCTCTGGAAGCATAGTCATCTCCATGCTCCTATCAGGAGAGCACGAGTCAATACGAAAGCAGAACAAACAAGGTACTAGTATAATAGCCATGAAGAAAAGAGTCAGGCTAGATATCTAACATTGAGGTGAATTTGAGCATTTAAAACGACTGCAATACCCATGTTAGTTATTTATACATTTTCTGAAGCAAAGATTGGGGATTAACTAACAGGATCAAAGAACTTGTAGTGTATACTCTTAAGGACTCTCAGAATTGCTGCAAGTGCTCCATCTGACTCGTTTTCATCAAGCTTTAACTCAGCAAGAGACTTGCAATTGTTGCCTAATTGACGACAAGTATATGAAAAGAAGTGGTATCTTTCCATCAATATCAAATTGTCCTTGTGCCTCTCCCAGACCTAGAATGATACAAAATTGCAGACATATCCAACTTCAGAATTTAGCAGTACATTCTCTCAATGAAATGGAAGAATTTAGTAGATGTAAATATAATATCAGAAAAAACTACATTGTCATGAAATCTTAGTTACTGATAGAGTAAAAAAAATCTCAGAATAAGTCAGCAAAGAAACCAGTTTCTAATCACCAGAGAATTTACTTACAGATTCTGTGTCATCAAGTATCAGAACAGCACTCTCAAACCCCAGTACCATGTCTAGTCCTTTCTGGTTTCTGTTTGTGCAATCGGCTCTGGAGATAACTTTTGAATCAAAATAGAGATTTCTGGGATCAAGAAGCTTTGCCATTTCGCGACCATAAGCTGGCTCTCCCATGGTGTAAATGTACATCTCAAACATCTTGCTTGCTTCTTGCAGAAATTCACGGACAAAAGGCCTCAACTTGGTTATCATAGGCCTTTTATCAAATTGAAATAAGCTTCCCTTTGAAGTATCTGTTCATTACTTAATATTAGAGCAAGAAAGAATAGAAAGTATACAAAACCCTGATGGTTAAGAGTCGGGAGAGCTTAGTACATACTTAAAACATGAAGCAATACAAACTAGGATAAATCTGGACTCCACTAATTTTACACCTTTGGCTTAAACACCAGATGACAAACTCAATCATAATTCATAAAGTATAGAAGAATTAAAATACACTTGCTATGGATGAGACAAACAAACGAGAAAAATTAGAGAAACAGCAATTTGATGAGGGTGGTGTCAAGCAAAACCTAAGATATCGTTAAAACAAGAATGGCTTCACACAAAACAAGGAACACGAATTCAAATTTCTACCAAAAATAAATTTTATGACATTGTAAACCGTAGAACTTTAAGTTCAAATGATATAGAAACACAAAGTCAAGCTGTACTATATCATTTTATTCCATAACCAATATAGTCTAAATGATAGAGTGATATACAATGAAAATTGTTCACAAAATTAAGTTTTAAAAATTAATCAGAAGCAGCAAAGCATATAATTAAACGTGTAGGAATTTAAACAGAACAACCTTTAAAGGAGCATGTTTGATTCATTAGATATGCCTCTTCCGGACTGAGAGAATCGATATTAGCTGTATGCAGCAATGTCTGGTCCAAATCAAGAACCAGGAACAATTTTTTCTGACGTAGGACATTTCCTGCTTCAGCATTACGTAATCGAGAAATTTCTCTGCTGCCAAGCCTCAAATCCTGCAAATTGCAATTGGAAATTATACCAAAATCTTATCAGTCCTTCGAAATGACAACTTGACTGAACAAGCTTTGCAAATGCACTAACATCACAATTAAGATATAGCAAATTATCAATTAAATAACACAAGTAGTTATGCAGCAATTAGTTATAAAAACCTCGAGGATGGCAACTCGATGACTAATAAGCTTCAATCTAGTTCTATCTTTTATTGAGCTAAACAAGAAGAGTTTGAGCACAATTGAGTTTAATTAATGACATAAAGCATACTGAACATATTACAAGCCGAAATCAGTACATGATAACTAAATAAAATACGAGAACCTACACATACCTTATGAATATATCTAAACGGAATACTATCTCCATATCCATCACCAACCAATTTCCCACATTCTATGCACATATCCTTAAAAAAACCAGGATGTGCACACGAACTTGGCTCCTCGGCCACCTTGCATTGCTTGATCCTTCCAACAAAAGCACTCATGTCAATGCCGCCTAAAACATTTTTCATATACTTTGTACATACTATTCTTCCTAAATTAATGATGTTACTACTACAAAAAAAAACAGGGAAATGACTTTTCTTGTTTCATTACTCCATAAAATCATGGGACAGTTGCTACTTGCTAGTAACAGACTATTATCATTTGACATCATAGAAAATTCAATGTTAATACTCCATGATTGTACATGTGCAAAGTGTAAGTTCTACATTACGATATTCATAAGTAAATAAAATGTCCCGATTCGATTCTAATGAGTTATATGTACAAATTGTACACTAATTATGCTAAAAATTGTTACATGAAGAATGACCCTTTACACAATTCATACTTATTGATCTTTTTTCACTTAAAAAGGCGGTCATTCTAAGATTCCTAACACCATAAACAAGAAACATATTCATCAATGCATACATTTGAAGATCATTTGCCAAAACCTTATAAATTAATAAGTCTAGTTCTTGAAAATCCAAGTAAAAAAAAAAAAGCTACATTTCAATCTTCTCATTTTCATTCCATCTATACTCTGAAATCAAACTAGGGAAATAATTTTCTCATCGTAATTGTTTAATTGCATCAAAAATCAAGCTTTACTGGTTCAATTTCTACTTAAATCAGTTACAATTGAGATACATTATTGAAAATTTCAAAATTCAAAAATATGATCAAGAAAAAAAATATAAACATAAGAAGGGGACAGAATTAGGGTTTCCGAAATCAAGAACATGGAATTATTTGTATCAATAAAGAATCAAAATTATTATCAATAATTTGGATTAAAGTATAAGCGAAATCCAATTATACCTGAGAGGTTCAGGTTGAATTTGAAGAGCCATCTCAGAGAAAGAAAAGAGAACACACTCAAGAAGAGGAGGTTTGGTTTGTTTATAAGAATTTGGCTTGACCGTAATTTATAAACGTGAATCATCCGGAAACATGCAAGGGGCAAAATGGAGAAAACATATCTTGTATTACGACTATCGGGAAAATTCGGCATGTTTTGGAGTGTTTATTCGGTGTTTTGTTTGAATTTGGTTTAAACTTTAATTTAATTTGAATTTAAAATTTAGTTTTGAATCATTGGGTCAATTCGGTTTGAATTTTTCCGAAATCCTATGTGTATTGGATTTCGGTAGTTTTGATCCAAACTAAAATTCAAATGATTTCTGATTTTAATTTTAATTAGGATTAAAATAGCTTAGTTATGTAAGCTTATTGTGTGTGTGTGTTTAGAGAAAGAAGAAATTATTAAATTGCAAAAGAAACTAAACATCATAATCCGCCAAGGCAAAATAAACCTTGTGGAAAAGAGTTCAACAACACCAATTCTTCTTAACGTGATTTCAAGAAAAACACTCAAACTTATCCCCCCAAGCAAAATTATACTACATTTGTTTCATATTATTTACAACGATTTGACATAAAGTTAATATCAATCACGGCAATCAGTTGGAGTTCTGTCAAATTTTCCATGACCGACTGGCCTGCACCACAAGCTCCACAGCATCGCACTCAAGCTCAACAAGCTTTCGATGAGCAAGAAGAGTCCCAAACCTTGCTGCCAAAGTGCCAATGCTTAGTTTAGGCTTGAACCTTTAGTTGATTTGTTACAGAGGACAGGTGAAAAAACTTTAAACCTTACTGACGTATTCATTTCAATAATTTGGTTTATTAGCTTACAAAAAAGGTTAAAGTTGTGACTTGTGAGATTCAGAGACAGACACCACAAAACTCCCCCTCAAACTAAGTATTTGAAGGGCATGAGGGTCTGCAACTACAATTTTAAACTAATCAGCAAATACACAAAAAAAATGAAGTATATAATAGTGTAATTTCAGACTGTTTGATATTACAGTTGTGGAATATAAAAAAAAGAACCAATTTTCTTAGCAAATAATCCAATACTTCCAAAGAACCACAGCCTTAGAGCTTGAAACAGCAACAACTTTATACTACGTATATACAATAGCTAGAAACCGGAATCCTGAAATAGCCATGGCTTTGAAAGAATGCAACTTAGAGCTAACAAAGAAAAATATAATGTGCTAAATAGACAAAAAATAGATTTCATTAAATGACTCCAAACTATCCCTGTGGTCCGAAGCTAAACATGCTAAACTATGCTGCTATACAAGGCAAGTCTATCGCATGCTCACGGAAGCATGGTCATTTGACCAATCAACTGAAAAATGAATCATTTCTATCCTGTACTATACCCTATATTCTTTAAGAAGCCAACTTTCTACTCTGTTCATTGATGTCATCTATTGTCAGGGGTTCTTGAAACTAATAACGAATGCGCTGGTGTTAGCAGATCGACATGTATAAGATATCCAAACAACTCTACTGAGGTCACGCCATAAAAAGATATGTCAAGTCCTCCACTGTAAGACGACTTTGGCGACTACCCTTTTCATCTTCTCCAAAAGCAGAAGCAACCAACTCTCTCTTCTTTTGCTGTACAAAAAAATTCACTTGGCATTAATAAAGGATTAAAATTAAAGCATTTTACTCAATATGTCCAATGACTCATCTTGCAAATAAAATGATTAGAACTGAAAATTTCTCCCATTAACGGTCACATGAAAAGAAAGATACCCCACATCGAAGCCAATCCCCAAAATCAATTGTTCCAAATATTCCAATATCAATGCTGAAACTAGAAGTTCAACCACGCATTTGTAATGCCTACCAGAGCTATGTTAATAATTTTTAAAATAAGATAAAATTGGGCATGTCATAGATGCAGAGAATGTAACAATGTCAACAATCAAAAAGGCAAAACAAACTCAGCCCCTTAACAAGCAATTTTGGAGGCAATGAAAATTTTAGCAACCTTAGTACGGCTTTGATGCATCTTTATAAATCTTTATAATCAGCATGTCTCCAACTAATCAACCTCATAAAAATATTAGTCTTTCAACTAGAAGATGGCACGCAAGTGTCCTCACTACGACCAAGCCTTTGCTCACAGAGAAGCAAGGAATGTGGAAAGAATAAAAAATTCTTAAGAGATCAGTGCTTTGCAATTACGAAACGGCTAACAATGTAAAGGCTCCAAATGAGAATGAGATGCCTAAGTATGCAGATCTAAATTGCATGTCACCCACCAAATTTTTATTTTTTATTAGGGCAGGTACATATCCAGAAGTATCTCGAGGTACTGAACAAGAAAACTTAACATCAAGCCAATTCAGGAACTATTATTCATCTTCCAGAGCACATGAAAGATGTGTGATCTAATCATTTAGCACATGTACATTTGTTGGTAACATTGAGTTCCAATATGAGCAAAATACACTCTAGGAAAATCCTTTTGCCCAGAGAAAAAACAACATACAGCCAGAAAAGACAAGAGAAGACAGGACACGTAACAAAGAAAAATAAAGCCCAAAATTTGCAAGGAATGAATTATAATAGTAAACAAAGTTGCTTTTTAGAATGCACCCACGGTAAAAGAAATTTTGGAACGTTACAATTAGGTCGGTGCAGATTTCTTTTGGAACGCAAAATAAAATACCTGAAGTGCTAATATCCGATCTTCAACTGTATCCTTCACAGTCAGCCTCACGACAGTAACAGGACGAGTTTGCCCAATCCGATGCGCTCTGTCAATTGCTTGGTCCTCAGTAGTAGGGTTCCACCAAAGATCCAGAAGAACAACATGACAAGCTGCCACCATATTTAGCCCAAGACTTGCTGCCTTTAAAGACATTATCATAACAGATACCTGCAAATATTGACAAAATAAAATATTACAAATTGAAACCAGAAATTACTCAACCCCAATAATTCAGAATCTAGTAGAGTGAGATCCCGCTGACTGTTGATGATTAAGAATTGCAGACTATATATGTGATTATACTATTCATTTCCACAAATGACGAAAAGAAAAAGTTCTTAAAATTGCACTGAAAGAGCATAAAACCAATTCAATTTGGGTCAATTACTTTCTAAGAAATTTATTCACTTTAAAGCTAAAAAGTCTGCAATTTTTGAAATGGACAAAAAAGATAGAATTGAGAGAGCATATAAAAAATGAAAGATCCAGATAGTTGCAAACCTCTGGAATGGTGTTAAAATCTTGCACAGCTTTATCACGGGCGGCAACAGACATAGTTCCATCTAACCTCCTGTACTGTATAGAAGATTCCTTCAGACAATCTTCAAGCAGATCCAACATCCTTGTCCACTGAGAGAAGACAATTGCTTTCTCCTTTATGACAGATTTGCCATTACCCAAACCATTGGTAGCATTGGTTATTTCACTGTAAGCGGCAAAGGGTGCAGAATTGGATTTGTCCAAGAGACTGGTATCAGTAACAGGTTGGCTTGGAACGTCACTAGGAACAGAAACATGGGGTTTTGAAAGTGAATTTAGAACTTCCAAAGCTGCCTTAATTTTAGATGACTCAAATCGGCCAGGTGGTCCAAGTTCAATAAACTCTTTTTGTTCTGAGGATTCAGCAACAGGACAAATATGAGAGCCTTCCTGACAATCCTGACCAGACAGGCAGCTGTTCAGTGTGCCTTTGGAGAAGACATTGGAGGCACTAAGCTCTGATTTGCAACTTGCAGAAGGACACACGTTGTCATCGGCTGTAAAACGCTCAGAAATACACTGATTGCAGAATACATGGCCGCAGATACTGACAACAGCATCCTCAGGTGGATCCTGCAGATTTTTCAATGATTGGTGGCATCAACAACCAAAAATTTTGTCAAGCACTTGATTTAAACACATAATTAGCTACTGTGCAACAAATTTAAAATGCAGAAAATCTAAATAAACCATTTTAAATTAGTCTAATATTACCAACAGTAAACAGAATAGTGGATCTGTCAGCTACATTGGAAATAAATCATTCAAATTAAAAATGATTTACTACGTAAAAAAAATATATAAAAAAAAAAAGGTATTCAGGATTGGGATTTGGGAATGAAATACCTATAAAAAAATTTATATGATAGGCGAATTTCTATGCCAAAAAACTTGATCATTGACCATATAAATCAAGATACAACACTTATCACAGATATTTTATTAAAATCAACAAAGAGCTTTGACTCTAAGAACACAGTAAGAATTAATCAATCTAAGCCCATATAGAACATATAGCTCATCAATTTCTGTCTGGAAAAAGGCATACATCCAATATGTTCTTAACTTTAAGTATTTCCTCCCCCATCCCTTTTCCATTTCTAGTCGTAAGTTTATCTTTGTTACCTTACTAAAAGTATCGCTCATCAATTTCTGTCTGGAAAAAGGCATACATCCAATATGTTCTTAACTTTAAGTATTTCCTCCCCCATCCCTTTTCCATTTCTAGTCGTAAGTTTATCTTTGTTACCTTACTAAAACTTACTCATCCCTTTAGATACAAATCTCATATCTGATAAAATGGGCTACATGACTATGCATAGTAAAAATCCCTCTCTCACTTCCTCTCTTTCTCTCACACACACACATAATTGAGTTCAGGAAGGCATCTGAGTAAGAGTGCAGTATGGAGGGTCAGCTAAGGTAATTTTGAAAACACAAGCAATGGAGGCGAACAATTAGCAATCTAACCAACACTTGTGCTCCCAGATAGTTGAGGACAATATCTCTCAAACTATTAGTATCCAACAGTTGTCGTACTACACAAGCAGAAAAAGATAGGCAACAAAATTGAAAAAAATACCCTGCATATGCCACAAATTGCTTGTGACGCTTCCAAACAACTCAAAAGAGATATCTGTCGATCTCGAGGAAGCTTCTTTGCTGTATGAATGGAAGACTTCAAAACGGAGCTAGAATCACAACCCTTAACAAGAAAGGGATGATCACATGCTTGTCGAAGCCGTAAGAGCATTAACAATATGTTA